AATTTTATTAAAATTTTCCCTGAAATGTTTCAATTAAGTTTTTTTGACATTGTTAGTAGTTTTAAATCTTGCAAGAATACCTCGGTGGAACTAATTAAATCGTTACTAAATCAATATTAGTAATAACGATACAATACAATACAATATTTTTATTTGATAAAAAAAAAGATAACGATTTTATATATGTATATGAAACATTGTATATAATCTTATTTTGGATGTCTGTCTGTCTGCTTGTCTGTCTGTTTCGTCTTCTCTCTCTTTCTCTCTCTTATCTCTTTCTCTCTTGCACACACACACACACACACACGCACAAATAAACACACAGACAAACAAAAGCCTGTCTGTATGTGTACTTTCATACACTTATTAATGTACATCCGTTGTACATGAATGTAAAAGCGTGTGTTAATTTCTTCTTTCAATTTCACCACGTCAGCGATGGAATGGATGTATAGACTAGTGAATAGAGGAACAAAGAAATTTGGTTTCAATGGAACATATTCATCAATTTGTAAACTAAACACGTGAGAAGATCTGCATTGTAATGTAATATTATTTAACAGAGGCGTACGTTCAAGCTTCAATAACTTTATAAACTATTATTTTCTAGTGAAAAAATTACATTTATAAATGAACTATCTTTTTCTAATGAACAAAAAATAATTATAAACTATTACTCATATGTTCGTTTGTTCGTTCGTTTGTTCGTTCGTTCATTCGTTCGTTCATTAATTCATTTTTTTCATACAGTTTTCAGTCGTTCATTCAGTCATCCATTTAATAATTAATTAATTAATGATTTAGATAATTAAATAATTTTACGGTCTTATGTACGTGTGGTAAAGCGGTAAAGCGGTAAAAAACTTATTATTAGGAGTTGATGTAACATTTCAATCTTCGTTTGTTTTGGATCTAATCTATTCATGATTATTAACGCTGGCATTCTGTTTATTGAGTCTCTATGTGTTTGTTTGTTTGTATGTTTGAGTGTGTGTTTGTTTGTTTGTGTGTGTGTGTTTGTGTGTTGAGTGCATGAATGCGTAATTCTATGCGCGAATATATGTGTGTATATATATGTATATATATAGAGAGAGAGAGAGAGAAAGAAAGAGAGAGAGAGAAAGAAAAGAAAAGAAAAAAAATTTTTACTTTAAAAAATTTTTGTTTTCGCATATGTCGAGATGTGTGTGTGTGTGTGTGTGTGTGTATGTGTTGTTGTATCTGCGTGTGTGTGCTGTATGTGCTTCATTCCCGAGTGTTGCCACTAGGAAATTGATTACATATAAGATTATTCAATTAAATGTGTGTGTGTTTTTGTATGCGTGAGTGTATACGCGTGTGCGTATGCTTATGTATACGCGTGTAGTTGTGTGTTTGTGAGTGTGTGTGTGTGTGTGCGCGTGTGTCTGTATGTTTGTGTATGTGTAACTAGTAGAGATTGGAGTGAATCGGAGTGCTTACAATCACACATGCATATGTAGATATTAATATAAAGATCAGCGTGTATTGGCGTGTGTATAAGTGTGCGTATATGTGGTTGTATGTGTGTATCTGTGTGTGTGTGTGTGTGTATGTTGTGGTGTGTGTGTGTGTGTATGCGGTGTGTGTGTGTGTACGTGTGCGTGCGTGTGGTGTGTTTACATTCCGGGGCAGACATTTTGGTGATAGCGGGTGATAACGTTGAGACCTTCCGCTTGGTGTCTATTAACACAAACACCAACGCACGTACACACAAACACGTACAAATATACACAGACATACACACACGTACATACACACACATACACACAATATTTATACACAATTATACAAAATGTGTGCACACCATAGTCCGTTACATGTGAACCTAATTAAGACCAGGAAACTGATTTCTAATTTTTTTGTGTGGAATCATCTGCATCGGCAACATTACTTGCAATATCATAGAAATATAAATAATAAGAATAAAAGAATAAATATAAGTTTATTCATTCATTCGTTCGTTCCTTCGTTCATCTATAAATTATTAATTATTCATTCATTTATCCATTTAGTTCTATAAACATCCATCTCTCCATCTATTCATATGCATTGTTCGATCTGCATCTATTATTTCAAGTCGTTCGTTCGTTCGTTCGTTCATTCATTCATTCATTCATTCATTCATTCATTCATTCATTCATTCATTCATTCATTCATTCATTCATTCATTCATTCATTCATTCATTCATTCATTCATTCATTCATTCATTCATTCATTCATTCATTCATTCATTCATTCATTCATTCATTCATTCATTCATTCATTCATTCATTCATTCATTCATTCATTCATTCATTCATTCATTCATTCATTCATTCATTCATTCATTCATTTATTCAGTCAGTCACTCACTTACTCACTAACTCACTCACTCACTCACTCACTCACTCACTCACTCACTCACTCACTCACTCACTCACTCACTCACTCACTCACTCACTCACTCACTCACTCACTCACTCACTCACTCACTCACTCACTCACTCACTCACTTACTCACTTACTCACTCACTCACTCACTCACTCATTCATACATTCATTCATTCATATATAAATCTATCTCTCCATCGATTCCTCTATCCATCCATCCATCCATACATCAATACATCAATCCATCCATCCATCCACTTGTCCATTCATCCACGCGGCATGCATATGTTCGGTAGTGTTATTTATGATGTATGAAAAGCTTAGGAAGCATCACTCGTTCAGTTTGTTTGTGAATGAATGAAAGAACGAATGAAGAATGAGTGAACGAACGAATGAACGAAAGAGAGAGTGATTTTATTCGAATATACAGTTGACCAAGAAAATAAATTAACATTTTTTGTTACTGTTACTGCACACATACACGCACGCATACAAACACACATTTTGTTAATTGATCAATAGATAAATGAATGAAAGAAAGAAGAGAAGAACGAAAAAATAAAGGAGTGTAGGAATGAATGAAATGATTGACGGATAGATGAACAACGAATGAAACACTTCCTGAACATGCAGGTACGTGTGGCATGTAAATAAACTCAGCTTTGAAATTATACAGTTTATTACAATCGTGCACTTAAATTATTTAATTAATTTTTTTTTATTTCAACTTTCCCTTTCTCTTTCTCTCTCTCTCTCTCTCTCTCTCTTTCTCTCTCTCTAACACGCACACACAAATCACAAACACAGAAACACACGCACACATACACACACATTGAGAATGTTAACCATAAGCGGATCTGTGTGCTGAATAAATCTCGAACAACAACTCATGTCTGTAATTAATGGCACACTTAATTCACAAATTTATAATTTGCTCATCTGCCCAACACGATAAGAATGAATAAATAATTTTTAATTGGTTTTTTTCCAATTTATATTAATTAAATTTAATTTGTTTTAATACTGCATCCTAAATCAAGAAAAAAAGTTCTCAATAAATATTCTTTCATCTGACTTTTATTTAACTTTGTTCGTATTTTTGTCTTCAACTAAATACGGTTTTTAAATTATTATAAAATTAAAAAATAATTTCCTAGCTAAATAATGACGTATATAATATGGAATAATGATTAGTTATAGTCCAAAATGTTAAGCTACCCTGGCACATTGAAATGCTAAATGTTCTGGCATGTCCAGTCCAACATTTTTATTTATTTTTTATTTTTGAAGGATTACCAAAAAAAATAAACTTGTGGATAGGCCACCCTTAACTAAAAATTCTAACCATAAATGTAACAGAAATGTCAAATAAATACATGCACATAAATTCATTAAATTGGTCATCCGTCAAGTAGTCATTATACCATATCACCACTAATAAGTAATAATTACCATTATTAAGTATCAAAACAGCTGATCCCTGATACTGTATCCTACTTTACTGTATCCTGATACTGTATCCTACTTTATTACTAATTTAAATTAGTAATAATTTTCAGTTTTTCAACAATGAATTTACTTTTTCTTCAAGTTTTTCAACACTTCTTAGTACCAACTTTGAGGATGATTTTTCATTTGAACGGTTAACTCACTTACATACTTGAAAAATAATTTCTCCTAGAAAAGTTTTTTGTTGGGAAGATATATGTTGACGGAGAGCTTGCCATTTTAAATCACTAATGATGATCTGTCTATGGCGTAACCATGACGCCAATTTCTAGCAACACTTCTTGCATTGTGACAGTACAAAATTTCAGTAAACATTAAATTTTAAAAATCTTCTTCGTCATAATAATCAAACAAGATCATTTCTTCCGTAGCGTTTCTTTATAATAAATTTGTTTTTTTAGCATCTCAGCTGTAAAATATACTTTTAATGTATAATGTCTATTTTTTACATTTGATATTCTGCTAACCTGTTCAGTAAGGTCGGCTACTTGACTTGCTTGGTTCTTTGGCTTACTTACGAAATTGCATGGGTCTTGACAAACAACTAATACAAACAATTTACTTGGCCTAATATTTTTAAAACAAATAAATTAATAATAATAATTAATTAATTAATAAGAAACAAATAATTAAACGTATGATTTCAGCAACCAATTTCTATGAGCACTTATAAAAAATTTATTGAATATAATGAAATAACAATTTTTATCTATTTATTTCACAAGCAAATAAAAGTTTAACACGATCGAATAGGGTAAAAAAAGAGTGACTATAGCTCAATTCTAGTAAGCCAACCTATAGCTTCTGTAAGCCACTGTGTTTCACCGGACAAAAAGCACTTTTTATATTAAAATTAACAAAAATAATTTAATAATACTTAATCCTATTTAATTTAATAAAATTAAATAAAATTACTACATTGTTTTAGACATATTAAGTCAAGTAAATATTTCATTTCGTTAAAACCCATGCAATTTCGTAATTAAGCCAATAAGCCAGCAATCCTAGCAAGTCAAGTAGCCCGAGCCCCTGTAGTACTTTTCAATGCCTTTTTAAATTAAACATAATTTGTATAAAAAGTTTACAGAATTACGACATGGCAATCACTATTTCAAATTTAAAATTCTTCCTCACGATCTGCATGCTATTCACGACAACTTACGTTTTATACTCCGTATTCCAAAGCAACGAAACACTGAGAAACGTAGTGGCTGACATTGCAGCAGCTCAGAATCAGAAAACATCTGACGACCATGACAACAACCATGACGGCAACGCCAAACTGGATGGGTTCATAGAAAAAATTTCACCCTCACCAATCACCGACAAAGGTAAGACCACCACAATCGCAATTGGTTGCGCCATTACAAGTCACGGCGGTCGCCACCTTACTACACAAAATGTCGCAGAAAAAATACCACTTCTGAAATCTCTAGTTCCTTCATTTTGTAGAACTGCAAGTAGCGGCTACAGCTACCACTTCTACGCTTCATACGACGTTCGAGATACGCATTTCTCTAAAAATACATTCATGAGTGCAATTCACAGAACATTCAGAGATATCATTGGAGATACGTGCCCCACTAAGCTCAATGCTTCACTGTATTTCGTGAAGTGTAATCACAATAAGAACCCTGCTTGGGCCCAAAATGATGCTATGATGGAAGCTTACCTAGATCATATTGACTATTACTACAGGTTCATTCTGAATATTTTTACATATTTATATTAATTAATTAATCAGTCAATTAATCAATTAAATTTCTAGAGTAAATGATGACACGAAAATGTTGACTCCTGGTTGGACAGAAGCTTATGTTGATATACTACAGGTCAGCTTAATTTATTGAAATATTTATTTAATTTTTTTTGTCAAATATAAAAATTTTAATTAAAATATTTTATAGAAAAGATTATTTATTTACTTAAAAGTTTATATATAAAATTCTTTCCAAAGTATTTTTTAAATGTTAAAATGCTGTTAAAATGCTCACACATTTAGTGATCTATTTAATTAAGTTAATGTTTAATTATAATTGTTTTAATATTCAAATAATTACCAATAATAATAAAATAATAATAATGTCACAATGAAATATAATGATATTATATTTTCATTTGAATTTTTAAAATTTTTCTGACAGAGTTTCAACCCACCAAACATTGGGGTGGTTGGTCCTTTGCACAAAGGAGGCAATGAAGATATCTTAACATATGACTTTGTACATAGAAGCCATATTGATATATTTGGTAACAATTTCTTTTTACCTAATTTGTTTAATTTTTTTCAATATTTTTTTGTTTAAATTTACATTTTTATCCTAATTTTTAAGCCCATTGAGTTTTTAGCATGTTAAATTTCCAACGTGTAAGTTTAATTTTTGAGTGAATGAGCACACTTTAAATAAATTGCATTTGAAATTATGTGTTAAAGTAAAATTTAGTTGTAAAGGTTGTCCTATTCCATTAACAACTACTTGAGAAATTTATCAAAATCTGTTAAAAACAACTAACAACAACATATTATATAAATTTTTAACAATACTAACCATCTAAAAACATCAAGATATCTAAATCACCCACCCAAATAAAACAATCAGCCCCAACCAACTGAAATATCTATCCCATCAAAGGTAGCTACTACCCAAGAGTGTTCACAGATTGGTGGGCCGACAACTGGATATCAGCTGTGTATGGGCCGGTACGCACCATGAAACTCCCAAACGTTAGGTTGGTCCACACAAGTGAAGTCGGAACCAGGTACTCCATTAGAAATGATAGGGAGAAGTTTCTTAATGCTCAGATTGATCAGGGGAAAGATATTATTGAGAGGTCGCATTTAGATTTTTTTCCTTTAAAAATTAACAAGTTAATTCAATAAAATAAGTGTCATGTTATCAGCATGCTGCTGCTACTAAATTTACTACAGCTGCCACTGCTGCCACTTTTAATTGCTACGACTACTAATTACAATGCTGAAGTATTTTTCAACTATAAAAATGAAATTGTGATTTTTTTTAACAAATACAATACTTATCTCAACAGATACCTGAAAACTATGACAAAAAGATCCAACTCCTCTCAGAAAATCAAAAAAATCATTTCAATGTCATTGTGGGGCTCGAAAACTAGGTACACCTATGGGGCTCTGAGGAATGCCCAACTTTTACCTGTATATTTTCCAAACTGGAAACTAAGAATTTACGTTGAGAAAGAACAACCAAACGGTCTAACATCGTTTCCGCCTGTCGACAAACGAATCCTAACCAAGCTCAAAAACATGGGGGTTGAAATAGTTGAGGTGGACCATGCAGACACCCAAATCCCTCCAATCATGTGGAGGTACCTTGTTGCCGACGATGAAACTGTCAATGTATTTGTGGTGAGGGATGCGGATTGCAGGCTGACTGATAGGGATGCCATCGTCGTAGAGGATTGGTTGAAGAACTATCGGTTGCCTATTTACTGCGTCAGAGATCACCCCAATCACAAGAGGTATGATGAACAGTTATTAACGCGTTGTTTTATTTTTCTAGTTAACCCTAAAAAAAAAGGTTCGTCTATTCGTCTTGCTTTCTATTTATAAATTATGTTAGATTGTGAGCTAAGTTATGAAATATTATTTCGGTTATTGTTAAAGATATTTCGACTTTAATCAGTTTATAATTTGCAACATTGTACAATCTGCTTGTAAAAGTTAAAAATTCAACGTAAGAAATTAACTTCCCACCTACCTACAGATTTGCATTATTGGGTGAACTTTGGGGAGGAATTTCAAGAAAAATGAGAAAAATCTTACAGAAACCGTGGAAAGAGATGATGAGAGGGTTGAGATCAGATTACAACCAGGACAACGAATTTCTCACAGATGTGATTTGGCCTGCGTTCAAAAACAGTTCCGCCTGTTATGACAGCGTCTCTTGTCACTCATGGCCTAATTCCAGACCATTCCCAGTGAAAAGAGTGGGCACGGAACACTTGGGCCAGATATTTGATGCATTTGGAAATGTCAAAGAAGATGATGTGCAGATTCTTCTGGCCTCTGATATTCCTACAGATTGCTCATTAGATTACATACAAACTACACCGTCTTAGTTTTACTATTTATCTCTACTACCTACTGTTTGGTATTGTATTATCATCTGGTCAAAGTATTCAACGTCCTGATACGTGTTGAATGGCAGAGTTAAGGTCAGTGGTCATTCATGAAGTCAGAACAGTAAGTCAGAACAAGATGTAAGAGGTGCAGACAATGTAACCGCTTCTCAGGTTTTGTTAACATATCAGATTTCCACAAATGTGAATCGCCATTTTTATATAAAATGGCAATTTTGTGTTGTACAAATAACTACGTCGACATCTCGTCATAATATAATATTGTCTTCATTTGAATGATTCTTGTTTCTGGTGTGGAATGTTTTTTTTCTGAGTGTAACAAAGACTTTTTAAGATCTACTTGAATTTAGATACATTCTGTTGCATTGGAAATTATAAGAATAATCACGAAACACCATTCAAGTCTTTAGAAGTATATTTCATATATTTGTAATTAGATTTTTTATTGGAGGAATTGTTTTAGTTTGGTTCAAACATATTTTATCATGTTTTCCATAATTATACACTCAATTTTAATCGAAATAACTTTCATTTAAAACAAAATACGGTAGTAGGACTCTTATCAAACTAGCCAATCATATTTCATTGTGCAACATGCTTTCCCAATCATGCTATACATCCCGGCTACAAAATGTGATACGTGAATGTGCTTTACGTAAGCTACTGGGTTTTTTTTTACAAACAGTTTTTAATTCTTTTTCAATTTCATCTTTTTACATTTTTTTTCATGAAATAACAAATCCATTTTAATAAATGCAGATCTCCATCCATTTTTTTTTACAAAAACTAGCAAGGCGAAAAAAATTGGCCAAACTTACTTGCAATTTTTTGCACTTCTGATATATACTCTGAATGGAAGAAGAATGAGAAACACCACATAAAAAATATCGGCAAAAAGTAAGTAGCAACTACAGATGAATTATTGGGGTAAATCTATCTTATACATTATATGTACTTGAACATATTTATACATTAATGTATCACAATCCAATAACTTTTGCTGTCTGTATAGGACATTTTGAAAAACATTTTTTAGTTATTTTATTTTAGTTATTTTTTTATCAATCTAGAATACCCATAACACGAACCATTAACCTTTCACAAGACTACATCTTCATGTTAAATTTTGTATAAGCATCATCACTCCACTAAGAATAACAAACACGACACGATATCTTCATTACTCCATTTGATCTTAAAACTCCTTAAAACCAATCATAAACAAAGAAAAAAAGACCTTCTGCAACATATCCGAAACATTACAAATGGCCGTTTTATTAACTATAATTATTAATTACTAATTAATTAATTAATTAAAACGTCTTTCACACACATATAAAATTTTCAAACAAAGGGATTGTAAATAAAAATCACGCACTCTTAAATTGCAACAGTTTGTGCAAAAACTCTCCCTTATACAATTCTCTAGTAAGGTCTTGGAGGTGGCCCTGCAATAAAAAATATGCACATACATGTTTTGAACTAATTTAAAATTATCAAGCATCAACCGAATAAGTTATATTATAGATACAAATGCATGTTTAAGAACAATGTAACTCAGATGAGCATGATCAAGCGAATTTGATGACAAAAAACCACATCATTAAACAACATTTTCAACTCATAATTATTACAAATTTTTGAAAAATTTACATAAAAATATAAATATCAAACAGAAAAAGAACCAGTTATTCAATCAATTAGTTATTCAACATTGACCGGAAACAAATACAAACCTCCTCTCATCATTCCAGGTGGTGGCGGTCCTCTAACACCAGCAGGCATAGGAGCAGGGGGCATTCCAGCTCTCGCTTGAGGTTGCATCATTTGTGACGGGGGCATGCCAATGCCTCTAGCAGGACCTGCCAAACCAGGTGTGGGACCAGCAGACAAGATAGGCATACCTCTTCCGGCAGCCCGACCTACCCCGGGCCCCCCTGCACTTCCGGGAACAGGCACACGAGCCAGACCCTCTTGCTGTTGGCAAAATGATTAGTTACTCAATTAAATATTAGTCCTAATACAACTGCATTGAAAATATATTGTGAATTGTACAAATGTCTCAATTAACAAATAACTAACAATAATTGAAAGGGTTAGATAAAACAAGTTACTAATTCACTAGAACAAAATGCAAACTACTTCAAAAAATTGCAAGACAAAACCTAAAGAGCTATAATAATGATCTCTCTATAAAGATGTACAAATTTCATTTAAAAACACACAAACTCAACATGAAATCAATTCAAAGAACAAATTTTACACTGAACTAATATGCAAACAACACATAGAAACAACCCATTCGCACAAACAAACAGTACAGTACGAGCCACATATAAGAATAAAACAACCTCAGGAGGTGGAGGGCCTTCGACAGTCATCGTAACTAAAGTCTCGCCTCTCAGTAGAACCAAACCCAACGTCCTCTTCTCCTCTTTCTCGGCTGCCTTGTTTTTTGACTTGATTTTTCTGAACTCATCACAATCTCCTAGGATGACATTCATGTGTTTGTCAAAGGCCTTGAATGTACCTTTATGAAGTTATATAATTAATATTAGATTTTCATGTAAAACTTATCTGAATTTAAAAAAAAATAACTCAATGACAGACATGATAGAAATTGAAAAAAATAAATAAATGTACATAAATAAATACATATATAAACACAAAAAAAAACTAAAATGATACCGATAAAAATTCTTCCGTCTTGTAGTGTGCATCTCATCCTGTAGTTTATGTGCTGAAGCATTTTTGAACTTCTCCCCGCCATCTACAGACAGTGAAATTAGTTATAATTATTATTTTATTGCTGTAAAATATAAATGACATAATTATAAATATAAATTATAACATCATACGAAGGCTCATCCCCATGATGAGTAATGCTCAGGAGGTCAATAAAGGTTAAAGGTCAATTACACTCTTCCAAAGTTCAGAGGATTCAACAAAGCACACACAAACATCACATACGAGTCAAGGTGACAGAAAATAACTTTAAAATTCAAAACAAATGACAAGAAATCATTGAAATAAATAATCATGAATTGCAATTTAGCAGTTAGTTCATTTTAAATTTTCATCTGACATTAGAATTAGATTACAGACATTTCTCAGTTCACCCTGATCAGAACAACTGAAGTGAATTAACAACTGAATGAACCTAAGATTAATTGAAACTTTTTAAAAAAATTAATAGACACCAGTTGTTTAAAAAAAACATTACCTTATAATTAGTTTCAATTAAACAAACTCCGAAATACAAATAATACTTAAATTTTCGATAGCGAATTACTAGACGGGTAACAACGCAGGATCATTTATCGGCGCTTTTGACCATAGACAGTTTAATGAGGAAGAAAGTTATTATTATTATTATTAATGCAGTTAAATCGCGTTTCAGCGCTACTGACTATCTTTACACCCTTTTTTCTTTTGAAACAAAATTGTCTTAGGGTTCTTTTGAGTTTTTTTCAAATATTTTTATATTCTGTCGAGTATTTTTATCTTCTGAAGATATGTTATTAGATTATTGATGTTTTCTCTCTTTAAAATTTTTTCAATATCTGAGGGGATCTGATATCGTTTCCGAATATCATCATGGTTTTTGCATTCCACCAAGTGCTGTTCAGAATGTTTTTCATCACAAAAAGTTGCATGCTGGTGGATTTGTTTTGTTGATTATCCAAGAATGAGTGTATTTTGAATGGCCTATTTTTAACCTATTAATAATTGTCCTCAGTTTACGGTTTAAGCCCTTAAATTCATCTGGATTTTTTTATAAACACTTGGCATGGATAGTTTAAGATAATTGGTAATTGGTTAGACACATATAACTAGATTAAATATAACGGCCTTCGCTCACTTTTAACGGTCAAACAAGGAGCTTACTTCCGGAGGAGATTTGGAGGGTGATTTTTTATCGTTCGTGTCAAAAGTTACGATCAATCAGTCGGGCTATTTGTCATGCTTGGATTGTAGGCTTACGAAATAGCATGGATTTTAACGAGCAAGCTATGAAATATTTACTTGACTTAATATGCTTAAAACATTGTAGTAATTCTATTTAATTTTATTTAATAGAATTATGTATTATTAAATTATTTTTGTTAATTTGAATATAAAAAGTGCTTTTGGTCCGGTGAAATCCGGTGGCTTACTGAAGCCGAAGGTTGGCTTACTAGGATTGAACTATAGTCACTCTTTTTTTTACACTATACGATCTTGTTAAAAATTTGTTTGCTTATGAATAAACGGCCTAAATAAATCAAAATTGTTATTTGAACAATTATCTTCATTATATTCAATGAATATTTTACATTTTGATGGTGCTCATAAGAAACTAGTTGCTGAAATCATACGTTGGATTACTGCAGTGGCTTACAGGGTTTCATAGGACTCTTAATCAACCAAGCAACTATTCATTCAATCAACTAATCAACCAACCAATCGACCAATCAATCAACCAAATTGAATGAACCAAATAAACGAAAAAAAATAAATATTTTCAAGGCCTGTTCAAACTCGAACAAACACTTAACCGTACATATTTACAAACAATTTCGAGATTTTAGTAAAGAAAGAAAAGAACAATGGTTGCTTTTATTTGAATTCATTCAAAAATAAAAAGTGACGGTTAATTAAAATTTTAAAAACGTTAATTTCTTAAAAATTCGTATTTTAAACAAACAAATATAACAAAATATCGACCGATATTTTGTTATATTTTACTGTACTGTCTGTCTGTCTGTCTGTCTGTCTGTCTGTCTGTCTGTCTGTCTGTCTGTCTGTCTATCTATCTATCTATCTATCTATCTATCTATCTATCTATCTATCTATCTATCTATTTCTTTCTTTATTTAGTTCTGCCTGCCTATGATATTTTGTCAAATTTATTTGATAGGAATTGAATAAAATTTTTATACTGGCTGATTAACTACCATGCAGTAAAAAAACTACTGTTAACATGACGTCATTTCCTCCAACAATTTTGCAACGAATTACCCATCCTATTTAATAAATTTTATTGATGTTTTTTAGTTAGTCAGGTCAGATCGATATCGCAATGAAATCAAATTTAGAATTTTTTTAATTTTTGAAAAAATTATTTTTATTCATTTTATACTACTTTGTTCAATAAGATACTGTTTGATACATATAACCAGAATAAATATAACGGTCTTCGCTCACTTTCAACGGTCGAACAAGTAGCTTACTTTCGGAGGGGAGTTGGAGGGTGATTTTTTATCGTTCGAGTCAAAAGTTACGATCGTATATTTACTAATTACGGAATATTGCTTTTATTTAGAATGTTAAAATTTTATTTTTTTTAATTGTTATTCAATGTGGTAATTAATTACTTTTATTTGGTATAAATTTATAAAAATAAAATCGACATTACCGAAAATAATTAAAAGTTGAAAAAATTGAGGTTCTTTGCATATCCCTGCTTCAACCCATAAGAAAGTGTTGTACATTGGTAAATAGGCCTCCCCTTGGTTAGACATAATAGATGAAAAAACAATTTAAAATAATAATTTTTGTCAATTCTGACACGAACATCATTAATTTAAAATCCTTATTTCCTTGTCATTATTTCAACTTCAACTGACATCGTCATTAAACCATCGAATGCTGACATCATAACCTTAACAATAGCCAGTGGCGTCACTAGGGTTGGTGTCACCCGGTGCGGTAACTCATGGTGTCACCCCTCTCATGACACCCCATAGACATACAGCATTCTTAGCAAAATTTATAAACACGAACAAGTTAAATGTGCTCGGCCGCGGCGCTTAATAATTCGGACGTCGAATTTGAATGGTATAAATGTCGAATACAAAAATGATTTGAACGAAAAAATTTTTATTCATAATACATTTCTGGGCGCTGGGCGGGTTAGGCTGAATTAATGATAAGAATAATTTCATGGAGGGACATAAAAACATATACAGTGATATTTTGGTGTCACCCCCTGTGAGGGTGTCACCCGGTGCGGTCCGCACCCCCCGCACCCCCCGCACCCCCCTAGTGACGCCACTGCCAATAGCCGTATATATAATAGTTAATTAAAACTAAATTGATTTGAATTATATTTTAATAATTAATAAATTGATGAATAAATTTATTAATTAGAATATAACATTTTTACAATTGGTTCTACTTAGAAGCAAGAACATTATTGACTCCTCACCTTCATTATATTTTATACATAGAAATCTTTAAGGGTGAAATGCCTCAAGGTCATTATTTGTTAAGGTCGGGAGTATGTAGGCCTGATGGAATGTTTTTTTTGAAAGAATGATCGTAAATGAATGAAAGAATATACATGAGTATATGAGTGAATGAAATGGAATGAGTGAGTGAATGAAGTGAATGAGATGGAATGAATGAATGAACGAGCAAACGGATGAATGTATTGAATGATTAGAAAAAGGATTTTACAAGTGAAGGATTATTACACATACAATGTACATACGTATGTTACAATACACTACGTATTCGAATATTTAGAGAAAGAGAGAGAGAGAGAGAGAGAGAGAGAGAGAGAGAGAGTTTATTACATCTAAAAGTATGTTAATGATTGAAATAAATTCTTCGAACGATTTTATTGACTTAAACGCACTTGGGTGCGCCAGGCGAGCTGAAACTCAATTTACGACCACTTTTACGATGGCCAAGCTGGTTTAATTTCAATAAAATATTGCTTATTTCTATTTAATATTATCATAATTATTATTTTTATTCATGTAATTATATTTACTATTATTCATATTAATAAATTTTTCAGCCTGCTTCAACTAAAAGGACAAAAGATTTATGCAAATTATTTAAAATAATTTACATTTAAAGGTAATAACATTGGATTCTTCTTGCTTTTATTTAACATTTGGAACTATGAATTTTGAAAAACAAAGATTAAGTGAGGGGAATTATCAGATATTTAGAAAAATAGTGAACTATGATCGTGAAGTTGTTTTCCACCTTCGATTATGGTTAGTCCCATCTGGCATAGATGTCTAGACTATTACGAACTACATCGAGGCATCTATGCATCTGGAGTACCGTACCTAATTGATCTGTTCGCCAAATGTAATTTTGTCGTGATTATTTCGATCTTATATGGAGTATATAATATACATGTTAATTCTATATATACGATCTCGATCTTCTCCAGAAAAGAGTAAAATTCAATTGTTCTCATCCATATTTGGCTAAAAAATAAACAAAGAAATTTAAAGATATATTTGAAATTTTTATTATAATTTAATACGAATTCGATTAACGATCATATTAAGAAACTTATAAAAATTCAAATTTATTAACATTTTTTTGTATTTAAAAAAAATAAAACTTGATTGAAAATTGTCGTAAACGACGTCAATAAAAATGTTTTACAAGTTTGTACAAAATTTTTAAACAGTCTGTGCCAACAATATTTCTTCAAAAATTCTAATTTATTTGTTATAAATCGTTTAAAATTAAATAAATAAATAAATATGCCAAGATATTAATCAATAACAACGTCATATTCAACTTCGAGATATTCCTTTGTTAGGCTATTAATTTCAATAATTGTATGATATATTCGATGTGATTGATTTGATACGACCTAGAGTTCATTTCAATAATTCAGCCAACCACATAGGATAGATTTTATGCAGAAAAATATTTCGTATCAGATGTGGGCCTAAGTCCAAAAAAACTTGAGTCAGGGTCGGATTTAATGCAAGGCGAGAAAGGTGGGGGGGTTACTGCCGGGGGACCTCCCCAAAACAACCCACGAAATTTTTTATCAGTCAATATAATAACTATCTCAAAAAACATTTTCAGATCATAATTTTTTACGTTCTCAGCTTGAAAAACAAAGATCATTAGCGTTGTAGATTCGAATGAAAAACTTCAAAAGATTTTTTAAAATTGTTCAAGATGAAAAGCGAAGACTCTTCACCGGTTGGTAACTTATTTATAAGCAAGCAAAACAAACGAACGAACAGACAAACAAACAACAAAAAAACAAACATAATAATGTCAAAACATACAAGCTAATTAATCAAGAAACAGTAAATATAAAATTATACATCCCTTACATATATGTATATTTTGTTTAACAATACACGAAAACAGACATAACACACACACACACACACACACACACACACACACACACACACACACACACACACACACACGCCAACAAATACACACACTCACACACACACATATATACATACACAAACATATAGTTTGATATTATGGTTTACCATCTACTGATATATAAATATAATATAACTATAATTATTTAATAAGCGTCATTATATATAGACAAACTTTATAACTTTATGTTTAACATCTGTATCCCCGTGTAACGTAAAATCAATAAAACGCCTACCATCACCTCGTATGTTGCAGAGAGGAGGGATAGAGAGAGAGAGAGAGAGAGAGAGAGAGAGAGAGAGAGAGATAGAGAGAAAGGGAGAGAGAGAGAGAGAGAGAGAGAGGGAGAGAGAGAGAGAGAGAGAACTGAAAATATATTTAAAGCATGATGTGCGCAATAACTACAAATAAAGTTGTTTTGACTTAATTATAGGCTTGGTAAGGAGGTCTTTTTATTATTTCGAAAAGTTGTAACAAAATCATTATTATATATTTTTATTATTTATTATTATTTTTTTATTAGTGATATTTATTACTGATTACTAATTATTTATTGATAAGATACTTTTGAAGAAAGGTTATTAAACGTTTTTGTGATTCAATTTTTTCAAACTTCTATTTAAAATAAGTTATTTGTACAAGATATTTCAACAAACTAGCTCCGACACAATGAAAAGAATTCTGATTGTTTCATGTCTTTTGGTCCTAATATGCATCGGTGGGAACAGTTTAACTTTTGAGTTTTTTTAACAAAATTTTAGTAAAAGCTTACTCAAATCTATCTAAACATTTTGTAAAAATTAACGAATAAAATGAATAAACTTAATTTAATTACGTGTCGGGATGAATTTAAAAAATTTTCCCATATAGAGGAAATAAGTTTATCTTGGTTCTATAACAAAAAAAATAAATCCAATTTTAAAATAAATCCCTATCCTATAAAGTAAATAAATTTATTATATCAATCTTTAATAACATTTAAAAAAACATTTATAAAAATATATTTATTTTAAAAATTTCAAGTGGGCGATGCAGCGGGAGGTGATAGCGCGGGGTTTGGCCCGTGGTCGGAGTGGGTGACAACGAAAATTGAGGACCGTCTGAAGAGAAGTAGAAAGAGGGAATGCCTGGATCCAAGTTTGGGTTGCGATGGCATCAACGAAGAAGGCACCTACACCAATTTGAATTACGGAAGATTTATTAGTTGAAAAATAAACACTCAATAAATTATTTTCTTAAATTTGTTTTATTTTTCTTTAGCGAATAATACTCTAAAATTATGGATGTTATTTAAATGGTGAAGTGGTCATTGGTCAAGTCTCTTAAAGATTCTTTTTCGTTTTTTAGTTATTTTAATAAGTTGTCTTTGAAATGCAGTGAATCGAACTTATACTAACGAAAATTGTTGATATAATTCATTTAATGAAAATTTTGAAAAAAGTTTTAAATCACGATTTTGGAATTTTAATTCGTTTCAAATGATTTTTTAGTTGAAATAATTTTACAAAAAATACTACTTCGGATTGTTATTTAGATTTTAAAATAAGTTTTTTAGTCACGAATTTGATCTAAACCGTAGAAAAGATGATTTTACCAGCACTATGGATGTGGGTGGCTATATAATGACGCGATTGCTTCCAAGTTTATTAACGAAGAGCGCTATAGTTCATTCTCTATCTTAAAATGTCAAATACTATAGTTCATTTTCTTGCTTAAAATTACATTACATTAAAATTTTATGAAACGCTTATTTAGTAACAAATTTGTTTTTCCAACTTAAATATTTAAGAATAAAATCGAATAGTTTTTCATTTAATAACAAAGCAACAGTATTAAAGCAGTATGAAAGCCTGTCTGTTAATTGTTTAAAGTATCAGTCTCTCCAATTTTTACCATTATTATAAAATTCTATTTATTTCACTGAAATCTGATGAAAAAATGTTTAAAAAAATGTTTTTGGCATATACACGTTCAAGATGGGCAACACTTTTCTTCTGTATAATAAATAGAGCATTTGAAAAATGTCTGACATTTATCTGACTCCTCCTTTTCGTTGAACATTGTTGGCTTACAGCATTTGTCGTAGCAAACATTTCTTTTATCAATCTGTCTCTTCACATCGTAGAATTCGTCGTAGACCTTGTCATTGTAGACCTGGTCATACTCGTCATTTATGTCGGGACGATTCTTCTTCATTCTATTGGGCTTTTTTAACTCGTCGTTATATTTTAACTTTAATAAACTCTGATGCACGAAGTGGGGAGAACAATTATTCCAAAATGTGTATATATTCTGTGAGGTGCAGGAAAGAATCACATTTTTAGAAATAAAATCTTTATAAAGATCAAGAGTCTTACTCTTACAATTTTCACTTAATAGTTTGTACTTATGACTCAAATTTTGTTTTGATAAAATGTTGCAAAAATTTTTAGCAACATCATCATAATGTGTCTGATGGTTTGGGTGTGAGCAGTTCGGAGGGTAGACAGTTTTTCTTCTATGTCGCATGGATCCGATTTCGTTTAAATAACTGCGCGAGTTTTCAAATTATAAAAACATGTTAAAAAATAAAATCTCAAAATCAGCACTGAACCATATTAAAATATATTCACCTTGAAACAATTCTGCATCTTCAAAATGTAAAGCTAAATTTTTTTTTAATAAAAACAAGACACAAATAGTCGAACCTCTTTAAAGAACGTGGGGCGTTGAAGTATTCGAATTGGCAGACCGATATGAAATCTGAAAGGTGCGTCCAGTTGGCAAAATTATTTCTTTGATGTTACATTAAATCAATATATGGACTTTATTAAATTCAAATAAATACAATTAAACTACGGCTACACATCTTTCAATTACATTTTGTCAGTAGAGTATTTTACAAATTATATGCGCTTAAAATTGCAGCCACAATCGAGAAAGTCGAAAAATGTGTCAATCTTAATTAAAGCTAGAAGCTTCGAGAAAAATTGTAACGATATAACATTTTAAAAAAATTTAACGGAAACTAGATTCAAATTAAATAACATATGAAATATTGATTTTCCCAAACAAAGTAGAACTCATTTACGAGACATCAAATTAAACGAAGATTTTTTTAAATTTACTCTATCATTCAATTAATGAAATAATAATAATTAAAACTAATATTTCAAAATTAAAATCATTTTGGAAATGGGGACAAAGAACTAGGACATACGTCTGCACACATCTATCTATCTGTATTGCTTAGGACAATTTAAAAAAAAATAATAAACAAGCTATTTAATTAATAGGCGAAAGCAAAATATTTTTCTTTAATTATATCGGGGAGTGCACTGTCGTTTTATCTTTGGCGTATTGTTGTCATTACAAATTTTGGGCTTGATAATTAATTTGGTTACTTCGCCGCATTCAACAACGCCTTTTCTGGAAAAAGTTGTAAACATTATTGTTACGTATTTTTAAAAATTTGTTTTCGCTGTAAACCCAAAATCTGGTAAGAAAAAATTTGGTTAAATAAAAACTGAGAATTTTGTTGGGGAAAGTTCGGTTAGACGAAAAAAGAGGAAGATATAAGGACTATTCAGGAGTAATCAGAAACAAAATATTTTAAAATAATGTTTCAAAATCATATTTCAAAATAATAATTTTATTCAAATAAAATTATAAAACCGATATGTCGACTACATTTCTCTAGCTCACTGTCAAACCTAGAAAACATTCTAAATGAAGGTTTTGCTGAATTTGAAGATTCTTCTTCTCCTTCTTGTTATTATACTTCGTTAGTCTTATCTAAGATTGCTTATTGTAACTCGCTCTATTATGGTCTTTCTGATTCTACACTCTATCTTTTAAGAAAAGCTTTTAACTTTGCTGCTCGTCTAGTTGCTCGTGCCCCTTTCTTTTCTCATATATCTAAATTTCTTGTTCTCTTGCACTGGCTACCTATAAAATAAAAAAAATTTTAAATTTGCACATTTATGTTTAAGTCTCAGTCTAAATTATTTCCTAAGTACCTATCAGATATATTTTTTGAACCTAAACGCCCCGGTTTACAATTGTCTTCTTATTCTCACTTCTTCTAAACTCGTGTTAAACACTCTTTTGTTAAATCTGCATTTGTTTTTCCTAGCTCTTTTCTCTTGAACTCTCTACCTCATTCTTTGACTACTTCTCCATCACTTACAAAGTTCAGAGCGAAAGAGAAATTATGAATTTACAACCCAATTTCACGAAATCAAATTGACCAACCGTATGTTACCAGTAGGAAAAGTATCAAGACCTGATTCTTCTTCAACCTTGACTTCTGACCTAACATCGTGTCACAGCTCCGGGGAATAAATTATCATAATTTATGCAAAAAATTTCATCATTAGTTCTCTATATTGATTTTCAGAAGTTTTAACAAAACATATACGAAGCAATAAATGAATGAATGAATAAATGAATGAATGAATGAGTGAATGAATGAATGAATTCACGTAAATGCAGACACCAAACTCTTTGCATGGGACAGTTGGGGGTAAGTTAGCAGCCGAATGCGCTCTAGAACCGTTGATTAACATTATTTAGTATGAAACGAAAATAAAAAATATTGAATGAATGCCGAAAAAAATTACGATGAACTTGAAATTAACAGAAATACAGTCAGACATCCGTATAACGAGTTTGATGGCTCCAGGAAAAATTAGAAGTTTCTATATATAAAAATTGTTCTTGAAAAAATTCTATATAGCCCAAAAGATGTTTATATGCAACATGTTTATATTTATATAAAAAAAAACAACATTCTGATCATTTATTTCGATAGCAGAGAGCAATAATACTTGGTATTATTGTAAAAAATGAAATTTTTAAGTGAAATTTAGTCTTTATTCCATTTAACGATGATCCCACTTCCTTACAATACCAAGAAACAATAAATATGGTTATAGGATGTTAAAAAAGTACAAGAACACCGCTCTTATCAAATCATAGAATGTCTGCTGGTCAGATGTTTCTTTCAACTTTAATAACTTTTGTTCGTAACGGAGAAATTATTTTCGTTTTATTGAAACAATTTTATATGCAAGAGACACCAAAAAATTCGTTATATAGAGATCTTCGTTGTATAGAAGTTCTCTATTAAGAAGTCCGACTGTAGTTGTAAAAACTTACAAAATAAGAATTTTAAAAATACCTTTGTTTGATTTCGACTGATCGTTACAAAGATGCGTGAGAAGTTCCTAAATTTACGAATTTTAAATAAAATAAAAAGCAATTAATATTCAGCAAAATAAAAAACTTTGTCAGTTGTAAATCTAACGTCCAATTTTTCTTCTTATATATTTTATAGATTATATAAAGCTGAGAGTCGTTGAATATATATATTATATATATATATATATATATGTATATATATATATATATATATGATAAAATCTATCGAATTTTTAGCTTTTGAAAGTGTGTGTAGACTATATAGGTGATAAAGTAATGCTATCGAAGCCTGTAGTCTAGCATAGAAGAGAAATTGTAGACTCATAGAAAGTAGAGCTTTATGGGGATGAGTTTTCAAGATTTAGTTGCCCGACTGACTAGAATCGAAATTTGGTCTCACTACATTTGTACGTTTATTTTCCAAAAAATTTTTTTTTATTCTATTATTAAACCTTCCTCAAAGAGTTTTTTTTAAATTGTAATTCTAGAAAGAAATAAAAATATTGTTTGACTGCGTCTTAGTTTTGAAAATTATGGATGGATAAAAGCAACTCGTGAGCTAATCAAATTTTAAAAAGTCAAAAATATAATTCCAATATTTTTTATAAATTTATTCAATCTAAATCTATATTTGATATATTTCAAAGTTTTTCAATTAAAAGCCGCCACCAATAAAGTATAAGTTGACGGTAGGACAGGGTATAACCCGCTAGCATTAGCAATTAGCAATTCTTTAAAACAACAGTTTCCCACTAAATCACGGCAATTTTTCAAAATCGGTGACTTCTCGAACTAAAAATTCATAAAACATCTTTCATCCGGAGTAGCACTTATGCTTGACGTTACAGCGACGATAGTTGACTGAGAATGGTTGAAATTGCTTGCAGTTATGGTGGGAGCACATGGCAGACGCGTCAATGTAGGACCTCTTCTTACCATCGCCAACTATGTTTTCACCGTTTGAAAAATTCATTTTCGGACCTGTTTTCCTCAAAAACCTTTTTTGTTTTGAGAATATCTTCGATGGGATTTCTTTGAAAAGACCGAAAGGGCAGTTTTGGTTGAGACAGGCGTTTATGAGACTCACCAAGCGCTGAAAACACTTCGCATCAATTCTTTGCTCTGTGGATTCGAACGATGGATGACGGTGTTGAGATCTGTCTGAAAAAATGTTTCTGCTTTCATTTTCGTCAACTGTTTTGAAGTTTCTTTTCGAGTGATTACATACTCTTGAAAACAATTTATTCAACGTTTCGTTTGAAGTTATGGTGTTGAAGAGTCTGTCGAAATTTGTCATATGTGTGGTGGTATCTTCGCTGAGGTTGGCTGGTGAACGTTTGTGCGGTAGACAATTTGGGTTGCAGTCAATGCTTTCTTGCTTGTCATTTGGTTTGATTTCGTCTAGGTATCTGGAAAAAAAATAATTTGAAAATTTGTTTATTTTTAGTTTAAATCAAATTTACATTTATAGTTAATGTTATTGAAATGTAATTTATGATTTTCGAAAAAAAATTAAGTCAATTTGTTTTAAATTACTTTATAAATATATTTTTTCACAAAGATATTTTTTTTATTTTATCAGTTTATTTTTTTTTACGAAAATCAATTTTTCAACCTGCTGAAATAGTGGTGCGGAATGTTGAAGAGTTGATTGCGGCTGATCGCATGCGAATCTAAAAAGGAATTTTTTTTATATATAAATTAACGTTATCCCAACGAACATGAAATATTTCAGTTTATTTTATATTTCTCCAAACTTTTTAAGAATAAATTGTAATATATCAAAAATATGTTTGACGATCGAAAAAATTTGCTACCTAACACTGAAATTAACGCAGCATCACAAACCACCCAATGGTAATTTCACTCATAAAGGTTTCATCAGAGTTCAGTTTTTTGGAATGTAAATTAATTTATACAAACAAAAGCAGTTAACAAATAATTTGAATGATAAAGTCATCTTTATTCATTCAAAAAGACTTCAAAATTGCTACCTACCCCAGACGACACATAATTTGTAAAACAGCAAACCTTGTTATGAGAAAAAGTCTTAATCATAAGATTCTTAATTTAACGTCTCATATAGATGATTAATATAGGTAGTTTTACAAGTTACACCACTGAATATTTGTTAAACTCGTGAAAATTAGTTTAAAATTTGCGGTTTTTAGCTAACCATTAATTAGCAGAATAAATATTAAGAAGGTGATGTGATGTCTTCTGTAGGCCGACATGACTTCCGTTGTACTGTATCCCCTGGCTGGTTCGGAAGCAATGCAAGACTCTCTGAATAAATCACACACACATTTTTCTCATCCGAGATAAAACATTAAATAAATATAACATTAATTATCATTAATATATACAGAAATTAACTTAATACAGAGAATTAATACAGAATTAATACAGAGATAAAACATTAAATAAATATAACATTAATTATCATTAATATATACAGAAATTAACTTTACTATCTTAATAATTATCTTTATAAATATTTAGTATAACCAAATGAATTAGGCGTGTATTTTTTTGGTTCTTTCTGTTTGACTAGCGAAAGATTGCTTATATTATCATTTCTAACTATATTAGAGTTGAACATTTTTGCTACTAAGGTTATAAACACACACACCACACGAGGTCACACACACGCACACAACACGAGGTCACCCACACGCACACCACACGACGCACACACAAACACATTCGTAACATTTGAGATTCAAAGATTCGGACAGAAAGGTTTCGAACCAGGCCAATGTGTAATAAATCAACCCAAACTACGACACTTCTACCGTCTGAGCTATCTCGCCAGCTAATAAGATTAAGATCGTTAATTGCCAAAATATATTGCAAGTATGATGTTAATAAATCATAACATTTCTGAATTTTCCGAATTCATACAAACCTTACTTAATAATGATCGCTTGATAAATAGTATTTCAATTTATTAACAAATTAAAATTTAGAAATATAACAGTGAAAACATTTTCAGTGACAATAATATGGAGAAAAATGTTGATAACAAAGATAATAAATCGATTGTTGTTTAAATAATAAAAGAAAGAAATCTCATCTCAGTGATATTATTTCAACATTTCTTAGGAAAAGCAATTCAGAACAACCACTGAACAAAGAGTTAATTTCAGATAAAAACTTTTGTTAATGATAATCAACTAATAAATAGATAAGAATCTCAAAATAAATCTCTCCTGACCACCAATATGACCATTTTATACCCTTTAAATATATCATATACATATATACGTTATTCTATATATATATATATATATATATATATATATATATATATATATAGGTGTCATTATGGAGCATGTGTTAACTTTGAAAAAAAAAATCTTTTTTGTGTGACGTAATATATAAAAAAATGTGGATGGATATATATATATATATATATATATATATAATTATATGTGTGTGTGTGTGTGTGTGTGTGTGCGTGCGCACGTGTATGTGTACATTTAAACAGATCTACTCATACTCATGCCTGATTGTGGTTTTACTCTCTTGCACTCCATTGATCATAATTTTGGAAAAATTCGTCGGATAATTCCATCTAATATGACCTAATTATATTATGTATGCAGGGTGTACGCTGTGGTTAGCTCTGAAGAATGGGTGAATAATTAAAGGACAATGTCAATAGATTGATAGATAAGTACTATAGATAAGTAAATAAATTAAGAAAAATAAATTTCTATATTTGTTTAAAAATTTCGTGAAACCACACACACACACACACACACACACACACACACACACACACACACACACACATTTAGTTCGTGCTGATGTGTTAGCACCTAAAGCAGGCAAGTGCATGAAAAATGTTATTGGAACATGAAATTATGCCACTAACTCCAATATGTTAAATTTAAATTTACGGCATTTCGAATGTCACGCAGTTTTTCCCGGAGAGAGTACGCTGGCAACAACGATAAGTGCACGTGCACTGAGACTCGGAACATTTGTCCTCGTCGGTGCTTTGTGTACAGTAGATGGAGAATTTTTCTCACGGAGAACTAATTGTTTTTACGTTTGTTGGTGTGTTTGACTTGGTGATTGAGTTTCTGCGTGTGCGTGTGTGTTGTGTGCGTGTGTGTGTATGTGTGCGTTCGTGTGTGTGTGTGCGTGCGTTCGTGTGTATGTGTATGCGTGTGCGTGTGCGTTCGTGTGAGTTGTGTGTGTGTGTGTGTGTGCGTGTGCGTTCGTGTGTGTGTTGTGTGTATTTGTGTGTTTATGTGTGTATGTATATATGTATGTTTTGTGTTTGTGTGTGTGTGTTGATGGGTGGGTGTATTTCATTGATTATTATTATTACGAAAGTTAGAGTTAGCTTTTGAAGGCTAGCTGTCTGGCTGGATGTGCGTAGTAAATTAATTACACAGGTCGAACTTCAACTTACCAGTATGAACGTAAAACATTTGAATTTTTCAAATAAATTTTAAAGTTAAAAACTGCAAGAAAAAAAAAGAAAAAAAATATCAGAACCAAGAAATTGAGAAAAAAACATTTAAAAAAGATAAAGCGTGCAAACGAACTACTGCTGATCAAACAACGGA